GATCTGGAGCCCACGTAGGAGACGTTCAATACTGTAGCAACGACGCCGAGCCAACGCCATTGGCTACCATTTTCTCTCTATACCTTCTAGGCATACACCTTGTACTCTATTCCGGTCTACTCCACTTTATTCCTGCTTCTCCCCGTTCCCGGTGTTTCTCTCCGCTGTGCCTGCCACCTCCCTCTGCCTCCCCCTGTCCTCCTGCCGCTCTCTACGGCTGCCAGTCGAGCCATCGAGATCGCGGACCGGGAGCACCCGGACAAACGCGAGGGTTTCTCGTATTCGCCTGCACCGTTGCATTCCGTGACGATCTAATGGAGCCTGTGTCTCTTGCTGGCTCCGCGCAGGGCGGTTGGGTAGGCTGCCTTCTAGAGGATGGAGGTTTAATGGACAATTAAATTTCTTCGGTTCGCTGTTATCGAAATGTTGAAGTACATGGTAGGACTATTGGCTGGTATACTAGGCGTATCGCTGGTCTTGATGAAAAGAAGCGTTACTCCATTCGGTAGGTACTCGGAAATTTCATTCGACAATTCGGTACCACTTGGTTTCAACGGAAATTCCCGCTAGATCCCCAAGGCGCGAGGAAATCGAGATTTGACGAGGTTCCCTAGAATTTGTTCACGCGAGGGGCGATACAGCCGGCCAGATTGAAATTTCGCCGAAGGATAAAAAATTATGAAAATCCACGGGACGGGGGCGCGTGTACACACACCTGCCGCCCCGTGCCGAGTTTTCCGTGGCTCGGACGAGGGGTCGGGACCGGCCGACGAACAGATTAAGCTTTAGGAAGGAGATTTATGGGCGAGCGTGTAACGAGCAACTTTTTCATGCGATGCGCACGCCAGGGTTAGCCTCCGGGGGTGGGATTAGCATAAGATCCAGCAGCTGCAGACCGCGCGCGAAGACTCCGCCGGCTTCTCCTCCCTTATCCTAAGAAAGCCGCCCTCCGAACGATACCGTGTCCCATCAGCCACGCGTCGTCGCCTACCCCAGCCATTATCCTAACCTAACTTTTCGCAATATCGCGTGTAACCCAGCATTAGTTACCGAACGATACAATTCCCGCGATACCGTTAATTGAACACTGCTAGAGATAAAACGGCCACCTTTTATCTCGAAGATCTAACCGGAAAATTTATTATTTACCTTCGTTTTACAAGGAAACCTAATTTCGTGTTACAGAAGGGTTCCATCGACCAGCCGCCGAGCAGCTCCGCAGAAATTACTTAATCGGCGAGCGTTTCCAGTATCGTTGCTCCCCCGATTCTACACCGGATCCCCTAAAAATCAGTGGCAGAAGCCGAAGGTAAGAATCTCGTTCGATTATCCGGTCGAGGAAATATTTAGAGGCTGCCCGGTCCGTGAGCGAGCCCGATAGATCAACGGCAACGGACGGGGCAGGATAAAATCCTCGTGGCCAGGGTAAAAAGTCCCGGAACAGCTTCGAGATAGTAGAGCGGATCGAGGGCTGCCGCTGCCCGGAGCCGGAGGAGAGGGATAGTTAATTGAATACTCGGGAGCGAGGATTGATGCCCTGTGTCAGTAGCCGTGTACAGAGGCATCGGCGTAATAGACGTATTACGGGGGCCTTTACGGGCAATTATGCTAAGGCCGAAAGGCTCGCGCTCGCGCGTTACCCGCCGAGCCGATAGCACTCGCCTCCTAGCCGTCACGTACGGATAAATGCACGCCGTTGCGTAAGCCTAGTCGCAACCCGATACGGGCCGCGATCACGATGCGAGCCATGGAATCGGCACGAAAGACGCTATTCCGCCGGCTGATTGCTGGATCGACGATCTTTGTCCCGCCTCGAAAGTTTCCCCCGCGGTCCCACCGGCCGTAATCATAAGGATCCCGCGGACGGAGCCGGATCACGGTGTAACGCGCGCTTCCAACCGTTCCGTGAATACGCGATGAACGTGTTCCAAGACACCGGGGGAGATTTCACGACGCCGCTCTCGGATTCCAGAAGCCAGGAACGGAGACTCGCCTACTGGACTCGCGGGGAACGATCGGGACGTAGAATGCAAATCGACCGTTTTCGACAGATATGGCCGTCGGGAAGGTCTCGGTTTAAATATACGTTCGCTTCTATAATGTTATTCTGATTCGGGATCGTTCCGACTCCAGGTGGAAGCCTCGTTAAAAATAAGTGTCCGAGATTGAATGTTGTTTAATGATATACGTGTTTGTTACGATCCTTCGCTGTATCACGCGGCGGGGAATATTATAAATAGAATTTTCCAGTGTAAGGGATTTTCGTTTTGAATCGTTTCGATTCGCGGCGAACGCTGCGGAGTCTCTCCGCCGCCATTGCATCGGTGGACTCGTTACAGTCTCCGGTGGGGAACACCCAGAAACTCGAGCGGTTCTCGGGCGCCGCGGATCGGTTACGCATAATAGGAGGCTCGCCCCCGAAGGTTCGTGTTCCCGTGGCTCGAGCTGCCTCGGTCCCCGTACGAGCAGGAAGAAAAAAGTCGGCGAGATGCAAGGCGTAGCGTGAGAACTCCCGGAGAGCCGGCAGCGGCCCCCGAGACCTCGGCTCGCGTGAAATCCCAAATGTAGATATCGGCTCGTAAGAACGACGCGTCCTAGATCCCAGGAAAAACGGACGGAATCCGAGCAAGAACCCTCGGGATCTGCACGCTACCCGCCGCTGCCTGTCGTTCGTGAGTCGCGTCGATCTTCATCTTCCGGTTTTTAACAGTTTCGAATGGGATCATGGGTTTAATCGATCGGCCGCCATTTTGGGAGACTCCGACTTCGTTTCAGGCGGTCTCAGCTTCGATTTCAAACTCGCGACGAGTACGCTGTGAATTATTCTACCGTGTGCAGTTCGTTTGAAGCTTCGGAAAGGGATGCTTTCGATTTTTAACGAATTTCACGCGAATTCATGCCGAATTCTCGGAGACTGCAGTGCTTCTTTGATCATGATTTGCTCAGGAGTAACCGTAGATTCGGTTG